GAGCCAAGTTACAATGGTTTTAATTGGTAAAATGTGGTATTATTGGATTAGTTTGATTTATGGGTCTAAATCAGTAATAACTCAAAAATGTTATCAATCATGCATTAAATTCACTTTTTTAATTTTAAGTTTGAGGTATCATGTTGTATCTTTGAGTTATGATTTTGAATTATATCCTTTGTAAATTTGATAACTCAAAACTTAATGCAACATCAAGAAAAAAATCTATGATTTAGAAATTGAGTTAGGATTTTCATGATTCTTGGATGTTTCAAAATAAACCAAGACAACAAAAAAGTCAAATACTACTTTCAAAGATTTCTATAATGTTATCATAAGTTATAACTCTTTATGAAATAATACATATTGTGTTTTCATATAAAAATACATATTGCAACTTATTTTTTGTCAAATTTTATTTATACATATTAAAAGTAAAATTATTATTATTTATTTATTATTTTTAAAATTAGTTAATGTAACTATTTATTTTGGTTACTAATGATTTTTTTTAAGTTAAAGTTTATGCTATTATTATTTCATTTAATTTATTTTTCTTATTTTTAAATTAGTGATTATAATTTTTAGAAAACATTTTTATTTTTATGCATATATTAAAATATTTTTATTATTTATTTATTTTAAATAGGTTATTTTGATTTGTTTTAATTAATTATTTTATTATTTATATATTTATATTTTAATATTTTATTGAATTAAATCATACTAAAACTTATACATCAAAAAGTTACCAATCATCAGTTTTACTAAAATAGTAACTCTTATTTTTATTGTAAAGATACCACATAAATCTATATTTTCTACCACATAATTTTTACTGCAAATTATATCAAATTACAAAATATATTGCTACTAAACTTTAATATTATGTGGTAAGAATTGTAGATTTATATGGTGAATTTGCTGTGAAGATTTTGAGTTACTCTTTTGTCAACATAATTGATTAATAACATTTTTAATGTATAAATTGTAGTATGTATTATGGTAAAAATATAAATAATATTTATTATAAATTTAATAAAAATCAAAATAAAAAAATTAAAATAAATATATTTATGTATATATATAAACAATAGTTTATGTACATAGCTTTTTAGTTAAGAAAAAATAGTAATTAAAATTAAAAACGTAAAATCATAGGATAGAGACTTTTAATTATCAAACAAAATTAAGAACTAAACATAAAACAATTTGGATTAACTAACTAAAGTATTTTTTTATTGAAAATTAACTAAAGTGATATTATTTTCTTAGAAAATCTATGGCTAACAAGCATGTATTTTATTAAAATAGTGTATTCATTAATAGCAATTAAACGTACAAGTACAACTATATGATCATGTACTATAATTTTTAATTTACTAAAAAAATAAAAAAGAACACGAGATAGTTAACAATAAACCAAAAATTTATTTAACTCAAGTAATACACGAGATTTTATTGATGTTGATTTAAAATTTGATTCATCACTTATAGTTCAAAATAGTAACTCGGTAATAATATATTCTAACTCAAACGTAACATCAAAAACTCAAAACTAATTCATGATTGATAACATTTTTTATTTTTATGCATATCTCAAACTAAATCAACCGTACTATATATTACCAATCAAAGTATATAAGACACCGGATTTTGAGTTTCTTTCTGAAAAATGGATTTTGAGTTTTTAACCCCCAAAAATGTGGGCTTGTAGCTAGGCTGGGCTATGCTATGCTGGACCAATGACATTTGTTGCTGTATATGCTAAGAATAACTAAAATTGTATAGAGTTAGGTTTGGTTCGGCTTAGATGTACATAACAAAACGAATAAACCTTAAAATGGCATCACATTCCTTTGTCTCTCTATTAATATCTGATTCTCTCATTTAGGAAAAAACATCACATTCCTTTTTCTAGTTCTCTGGTTTCTTCTTCTTCCTAAAAGAGACTGAAACATTCAAGATGGTTTTGTGGGTATTCGGATATGGATCTTTAATATGGAACTCGTGTTTCGATTTTGACGAGAAACTCATTGGCTATATTAAAACTACAAACGCGTCTTCGATCTTGGTATGTTTCCAACACACATGTTCTTGAATACTCAACAAAGAAATAGATCAATGTAGGGTTGGGCAAAAAAAACAAACCCGACCCGATAAAAAAGAATCTGAAACGGTCTGAATGCGACATATATAGCGAAGGAATCTTGTTTTACAGTATTTCGGGTTATGAGTTTTACCCGAACCGAATCCGAAATTAAATGAATATCTGAAAGAACCCGAAACTTTAAAATTACAAAAAACTTGTACCATATCCAATCTAAATTTTTAATATGTTTCCAAAACACATTAATATATTATTGAGTACCAACAATAATTAGTTATCATATGAATAATTAACTAAAATATTTAGTCTAATATAAACTGTTATTTGGATAATATTAATATTTATGATTGATATTACATTTGAACTTAAGTTACGAATAAATTTGTTTTGAAAAAAAAGTTTAAATAGTATTTCTTATGTTAATAGAATTGTTAGTTGTTAACTTTAATTTTTTATGTTACATTATGTATGATTTTCGTTCATACAAGGCTTTGGTTTGTCATTAATCATGATATGATATGTTTAGTGTTGTCACATATAGTTTAATGAGAAACCTTATATGGTTAATAGACGAATCAATGTCTAAAGAATTTTGATTTTTTTGCAGCTTGTATTGATCATTGAGGAACGCCTGAACATCCTGCAAGAACTTGCACGTTGGAGCAATCCACTGGAGCTATATGTGTAAGAAAAAACATATGTTATTTTTCTATAATAATTATTATTAAATGAGTAATATTCTTTATAACACAATTATTATTATTTTTGGTAAAAACAGTTATTATTATTAATAAAAACATTACTGAAATCGTTGATATTTTGGACAGTGGGGTGCTGCTTATTGTGTCCGTGGAGGACCTGAGAAGGAGAAGCTAGCCATGGAGTATTTGGAACGAATTCAAGAGAGTGTGAATACGAATCTCAAACCCTCGTCGAGCTTTACACTGTAAAGACTTGTTATTGTTCTTGTTTTTTGTTGTTGTATTTTCCAATTCTAGATTTGTTTTAATGTAGTTTATATTCATTGGATGCAGACTGACACCTTCGAACCAATCTTGACCGGAGTTATAGTGTATGTTTGTAACCTCTCCTCTGGTCTCTTATTTTTCAAGATTCAAAGTTACAGTCAGTTTTGTGGGTCTCTCTCTTGTGTAGCTTTACGTCAACTCAAGAAAAAAGTGTCGAACAAATACTACTTAGGCCCTGCTCCATTGGAAGAGATAGCGATGCAAATAGCCACAGGTTCGGGACCTTGTAGGAACAACCGAGAGTACCTTTTCAAGCTTGAGAGAGCAATGCACGACATTGGTGAGGCTTTGCATTAAAAGAAAAAAAAATGTAAGTTTTTTGGCATTGGTTTGTTTAATGAATGTTGTGTAAACAGAGCATGAGGAAACAGCTAAACTTATCAAAAGAAGTGAAGGCATTGTTGAAGCCTGTGGTTACTCGTGTGCCCATCAAATCTCAGTCTCAAGCTCATGTATCCACTCTTCAACGGCTCCTTGCATCATGAGAGATGACAAGCAAAGCAAGCAATGTCATGGAGCCAACTAACTGCATTTTGGTGATGATTAAGGATGTGATACTCTTTCTATTTGACGTTTTATTTGATATAACATGTTTAGCTTTGGAAAGTTTGGATCTTTAAACTTAGAGACGATTTTTCATGTGTATTCTGTGAGAATTTATGACACCAAGGCATGAGATTCGTTGACTTTGACATTTTTTGATTGAATGACTTCTTTTTTTTTTGTTGCGTAACTTGATTGGATGACTACAAAACTGTTAACTTCAGTTCACTTTGGTTGTTTCTATTTTAATGGGTTCTTATAAGGTCCATTTTGATTATGGCTACTCTAAAACTGGTTCATTGTACTAATGAGCTACATAAGTATGAAGTAAAAGAAAACAGCCAAAAAACTCTAAAGTTGTGAATAAAACCAATTAATCTTTAACCTCCGCTTAAATCATTTAATCTTAATTTTTTTAAACGGTTCATTTTAAACCTTATTTTAATTTTTGTTGATCACACCGTTTTAAATACTTGAAATGTCAACATTGAATTGATTTAGCGGCTGACTTTTTGTATATCTTAAATGGTTTGGTTAACAAAAGTTTAGGATTAAAATGAACATTTTTAAAAGTTGGAGACTAAAATGATTTTAAACAGAAATTCATATTTTGTTTCATGGAAAGATAGTTTTAACGATTTTCTCTTTGAATTAGAAAAAAATAGTTATTTTTTGACTTGATTCATTTTTTTAAGAAAACCGTTAAGTTAAGTTAATTGCATTTTTCTCTCTTTGAGTTTACATTTTTCCTTTATTTTATAATGGATTAAAAAAAAATTTCTATGAGTATGATTTAGATATATTTATCAAACTAGCAGCTAAATGAGTTAAGAATCTGGTTTCGTCTATATTATCAAAAACTAAAGTTGTAGTTACAAAACAAAGCTCAAAGTAACTTCCAAATTAAAATTTCAGATTATCATATGATGTTTGGAGAACTATAACAACACCCGTCAACATAGACTTTTGGTAACCTGTGAGTCGCTAATAAGATGACAATATATTTGGCTATTCTAAAAAAAAACTCTATGTTTTAAGCTTTGTTAATGTCTCATTTCATGAGACACACCTACACATTTCAAAACCAATGTCTTTCTAGTTAATATTTACAATAACAATTGATCCAAAATCTCATCTTAAATAAGTAGCTAAGTAAAAAATAATAAGATTTTTCTCATTCAAAAAGACAAAGGCGTTAAGAACCGACATCTTTCAAAATGAAACAAAAAAACATAAACTTCTGTTAACCATTTTAATCTCTATTTAAAAAAAAAATATATATCCATTTTAAATCTTAACTTTTGTTAACAAAAACATATAAGAAACACATAAAATGTTGACTTTTCACCATCATATGACTGACGCAATATTATCTCTGCTAGATCTCTGGTTAGCAAACCACTAATCAAAAAGGCGGGATCAAGATCATCCATCTAATTATGGAATGATCCTCGGCTTCCAACCACTCGCTCGAGACTAGCAAATAGCAATCAACATAACTTACTCCCCGATCGTACAGTGGATTCTCTCATCAATAGGAATCGCGTACATCAAACTTACAGTTTATTCAGTCTCTTATGGATTCTCAAGATATACAGATTATTCATAGTATACTTCTAAGTCGGATTGAGTTGACTGTTAAATAATGGCTGGCACTTTACGAATAATGGAAAATACACTGTGAAATGTGGATACTAAGTGGAGCGGATATATCCTGACAGAGAAAAATCACCAACACTATATGGACCTATGGTTGATTCTCTTAAGGCATTTTTTTGGGAATTACGTTGTCCACCGAAAATCAAGCATTTTCTAGGGGAAATCATCTTAGGGTGTATAGCGATAAAGAAAAGTTTAAGAAGCAGAGGAAGTCAAGGCAATATATTGTTCCCGTTATATAGAATCAGAGGAATCAGTGAACCATGTTTTCTTCGAATGTCCACCAGTGATCCAAGTTTGGGCACTATCACGGATTCTATCGAAACTAATTACTTAACACAATCCCTCTTCACAAATATGGACCATCTTTTTTTGGATAGTTACTCCATAGATGGAAGATCATCAATTTGCACAGATCTTATGGTATATCTGGAAAGAGAGGAATAACATCATTTTTAACAACACAGTATTGATTCCACAGATACTCTCAAGCTAGAAGAAACGGAAACATTAATTTGGGCTGAGGCACAAACTAAAATTACACAAAGGATTACCCAAAGTAGGGTGAATGAGGTTACAACTTACCCCCAATTCCAGGCTGATGGTATTTTACATATGGGTCGTGGAAGGATAATGATTTACATTTGGGACAAGGTTGGTATACAACTTTAGAGGGTTTTGATGGATTAATTGGGGTACATAATACTTGAGCTAGTTTTTCACCCATTCATTCGGATATACAGGCGTTTATTTGGGCAATGGAATGCATGGAGAATTTACGTCAGTATAAGGTCACATTTGCAACATATTGTTCTCAATTGGTGAATATGGTTTCAGAACCAGAAGAATGACCAGCTTTTACAAGTTACTTAGAAGATATCAAGATCATGAACGGAAATTTTCACTCCTCTGAGCTCCTCCATATACCAAGAACGATGAATTCAAGGTTTGATAACTTTCCATGTAGTGCTAGAAAACAACCGATATTTGTCGTCCATATGGATTCAGAGCTATTAGATTGGTTAACAGTGTCGTCATGAGTCTGTGTTGTTGCTGATGACAAAAAAAATGTTGATTTTTTCATGTATTTAAAATGGCTTACTCAACAAAAGTCGAAGTTTAAAATTAAAAAAAGAAGATTATAACTTTAAATTTAAAATAGGTTAAACGGAAATTACTGGTTATTTTAGTTTTTAAGTAAGCTGGATTTTTTGGTTGTTTTCTCATTAAAATTACTAGAATGATTACAGTATGAAAAAATCAGTGTTCGAAACTACGCTAGGCGCTAGTCGGGCAGTGACCCCGGGTGTAGCGAGTTATCAAAAAATCGGAGATTAATCGGGAATTAATTGGGGATTAATAGGGGATTAATCGAAGATTAATTTTTAAGATAATAGAGAAATTGATGTCTCTCATTGGTCTGGAACCCTTGTTATGTTGTCACCCAACCCGAGTTCGACTCCCCTCAGTTCATTTTTATTATTATTGATTATTTCGATTATTGATCTCATTAGAGAAAGTCCCACATCGGTTGTGCATTTTTATTATTATCGATTATTTCGATTATTGATCTCATTAGAGAAAGTCCCACATCGGTTACTGACAAAAAAAAGAAGGGAAATCTTGATCTATATATAGCTTCCTACTTGTTTCAAATCTTTGTAAGATATTTGGGCTTCTTAATAAGCCCCAAAAATATCTTCACAGTTAATAACTTTTTCTATAAAAATCTGTTTGTGGGCCTGTTAATCTTATAATGGGCCGACTAATTGTTGCATGGACTGACTAATCGGTTTATTGGGCCGATTATTTGGCTGGCGATTTTTCTGCCCGATTAGGGTAAAGTCGTGGCGGAGAGGTTCTGATCTGCGATTAACCGGGCGGCTAGGCGTCCTCGTTTTTGAACACTGGAAATAATTAACTCACTCATAATATTATCCATATGGCCAAAATATGTCATTTCTACATTAGTTATATAACATAATAAAAACTAAGAAAGTAAGTATATTTTGTTTTTAGTTTGGTATTTTTCTTATCTTGTATGATTGATATCACACAAAACTTGGAGAATACTTTAATTATATAATTATTCTCTCCGTTTCATATTATATGTGCATATGGATTAAAAATATATTTGATTCTGCATATTTTCTAAATATAGACATCACTAATTTTACACATAACATATTTCAACCAATAGAAAAATAATATGGAGAATTTTAAAAAAATCATATAACATATAAAGTTAATAAATTTTACAATGAAAAATCTGAAATGACATTTATTTTGTAATAAGTTTTATTGTACAATTACATTTGGTACGAAATTATGAAGAGAAACCAAAAACCCCATTTTATTGGTTTTTAAAATAAATGTTTTTTTTTCCTTTTTATTAGAAAGTGGTACATTTTAGTAAGCTAATAATTAAATAATAATACTTTATAAAGATTAAAGTCTAATAAAATAGAGAAACCAAAAACCCCATTTTATTGGTTTTTAAAAATAAATGTTTTTTTTCCTTTTTATTAGAAAGTGGTACATTTTAATTAGCTAATAATTAAAAAATAACACTTTATAAAGATTAAAGTCTAATAAAATTTTGGTACAAAAGATATCATTTAAGAAATAAGGTATAATCATTTATTTATGTTTCACGTCAAAATAATTTTCTATACTTATATATACTATTAAATAATATAAATTGCTTATTCTTTTCTATAAATAAAATTATTTAATAATTTTAATAATTGTTAGACTTATTAAACAATAACTTAAATTATAAAACATAAATTTCACAAATAAACTATATTATATTAATTTGAAAATAAAAAATGCCATTCAAATTTTATAGTTTAAGTTATATACAACAATTTTAATAAATAATTTCCATATTTTAAATATTGTATAATTTATAGTTATTTTATGATTTATAATTTAGTATAATATAATTTTATTAAAAATAGAATAATTAATACATGTTAATCTATTTTGTATTATTAAATAATAATCATTATATTTTAATAGTAGCTTTTAAATGTTTTATTTCTATTTTTTTGTATTATTTTTAAAATAATGTATTACTTGTTTCTTAAAAAAATTAAAAACTACAACAAAACCAAAAACCAAAATCAAAATAAAAAAACTAAAACCAAAAGCTGAAACCAAAAATAAAAAGCTAAAATCAAAAACCAAAAACTAAAATCTAAAAACTAGTGCAAACAATAATCACTATACTTATACACCTTAGGCTTATACATCATCAGAGTTTGATTGTTTGTAGTTTTTAGATTAGTTTTTGGTTTTTTTTTTTTTTTCTAAAAATCA